ATAATCATTTGATGATTTTACTAAATGGACCTGAAATTGAAGACTTTAATTTTGAGAAAGCATGTGAATATTGGGAAGATAAAAAAAATAGGAGAATTAATTCATAGAACTATTTATTTCTATAATTTGTAATTTTACGAATTTTATTTAAATAAAAATTTCTTGTGTTCATATGTGCACAAATTTTTTTTTGCAGATCATAAGATCGACGAATTTCCAACACTGCTTGCCACCATAAAGTGATCAACTAGAACAAATCTTACGTAGTAAATTTCCAATTAACCATAACGTTGAATGGAAAAAATGTTTTGGTGTTAATGCCGACCGTAGCGGCAAGAGCTTGTGCTATCAATTTCTTGCGATTGCAGAAAGCGAAAGAACAAAGGAAGAACAGTCGTGATATCACCACTAATTGTAGGTTAAATATATAACCTAAACAATAGGTGTGGTATATCAGCGTTATATCTATAGTGAACAAGAGGTTAACGAAAACAAAAACAAATTCTTATCGTAAATTAGCGGATCACGAATATATTTTGTTCAAATGAAGATGATGACGATACAAAAAAACTATGGTTGGTTCTATAACCAAAAAATTTTTTTTATAAAACTGTAATCTCTGAGTAATAAATATAATCTATTTATCAATTTGAATCAAAAAAAAAAGAATTACTTTCTTTTGGATTTGTTGATTTGTTTTCTTTCAATCGGAACAAACTCTAGAGCTTGACCATCATATCTAATAAGAAAAAATGAGATCAATAAAAAATAGATATTTATAATATGCAAAAAAACAAAATTATTATTATTAATTGCTTTTTTTACCGGTAATCATAAAACAATTCTTCGCCAGGTTTTATAAGTTGAGAAGCATAAATAGCAATATGATGTTCCCCATTTGCCATAACCACTATTATTTATTGATTTAATTAATATTTGTGATTGATATCACAATTGTATTTTTAAAAAATTTATATGACACATACCACGGCAATTTGTATTAGGCGAATTTGAATGGTTTATGAATCTTAATTTGTTGCCTTTTCTAGTGGCATCGATAACTGTGTCTAATTAAATAAAACAATGAATTATATAACAAAATTATAAATATTTGATCATTCAAAAAACCCAATGTTCTAACCTATGTTCAGGTTAAACAAGAAACTACAACGACGCTTATCGTAGATTTTCCCTCGTCGATCAGCTTCTGCATGTGATATAATCTATGAAATATTAATATATATTTTTATTAATTAACTAATATATAAAAATAATGGCTTCATTACTTACTTCACCAAGGTATTCACCAATGTACTCGCTCTTTCTGGCTTCTTCTCGCATAAATAGTCCCCAACCCGCAACTGTTGATAGACCAATTATAGTTGACTGTTGAGATAAATGATGCATGTTAACTTTATATATATATATACACAAGTAGAAATATATATATATATATATATAATATTTATTGGAGTAAAAAAAAGAAAACAATACTTTGGAACGTCCTCGCTGAACCATGACATTTTTACAATAAGCATCGGAATTATAAACGCATTGCACTTAAATTGAATCTTTAATCAATATTGTAATAGATATCCACACGTGTACATAATTATATAATGAAAAATGAGTAAATTATGATTACCTCCAGCTGGACATTTACATATATCAAAGTCACACTCTCGGTTATGTTCAAAACAAGAACATTTTTTTGTTCCACAAACATTATCTCCGCTATAACATTTACAACCTTGAAATCTTCTTTCACCTTTACCAAATAAATAAAGTTGTTAATAATGATATATAATCGTTCAAAATAAATAAAATAATAAAAACATACACTTTTTCTCACAGTGACAATACTTTTCACAGTGAAGATTTCCTTTTAAACAACTGCATTCAGCACTCGTGCAATCTTCACCAGGGTGATAGCATGGACTATACTCTGCTTGTTTATAGGCATCATTCTCTTTTTTTAACCAGAAATTAATTTAATGATTGTCAACAATAGATAATCAAATAAATAACTTTTTTGAAAAATACCAATTATTACTGCTCTTTTTGATGCTTTTTTATTAATTATTCTTGGCTCTTCATCATTGCTTGCAATAATGTTACCAACAAATTGTGATCTTTGATAAACCTTTTATATTATTAAAAAAACCAATCATAATTCAGATTTAAGTTCAAATATATATATACATATATACATACAATTTACCTCTTTACAAAGCTTAGATTTGATTATAGTGGCTAATGTACAATAACTTTTAGTACCAAACACTTCACGTAATTTATTGAATAATGTAATTTCTTCATCATTCCACTCAGATTCCAAACTTTGTTCATTACAATCAACTTCTTCCGTCAAGTAACGATAACAGTTTTTTTTGCATGGTTTTTCGTTTAGTTTAGGAGCTGGATGAAGTTTTTTCGTAACTTTTTGTGGTAATTGATTAATACCTATTGAGGTGGAAAAATAAAGATTCTTTAAAGAAAAAGTAACACCAAAAAATAAATATATATATCATTAATGTTATTAACCATGTAGTTTGCAATTATACATGTAGCACCGCAGACACCATAAACTTTTAAAGGCTTCAGAAATATCCTCTCCATTAATTTTATCCGATGGGCTATTAATTATTTTCACATTTAAAATAAATAATAAATAAATATATATATATAATCACATTAATATTAAATATTTTTACCTAAACTCTTTAACACGATCCTCTATCTCAGTTTGTAATTGTTTCTTACATTCTACGTATCTTTTTTTTGGGGATGTTAGATAGATGTAAATATATGAGTCAATCACACAGAATAATTATTTTATTGTACCTTTGTAATAATATGTAAACATCACTTTTATTGATGACAGAAGGAAATGAATTAATAATTTCATCAATAATAAAGTCACGATTTTTCTTTGTGATAATGACTTTAAGACCTGACTTTCTTTCATTGAGAAAATTTTCGATTACATTTAGTTCAATTTCAGATTGATTGAAAAAATGATCACAAGTTTTGAAGAAGATTTTTTCCACTAGAATGTATATAATTTGAATGAAAACATATAATAAATAAACTTTAATTCTCATTAAATAATAATAATAATCATCATTAGTAATAGTTATTATTAGCAGTGCTTACCATCCGTATCAAATTTGGAAGATCCAAAATCAACTTTATCAAAGACATCCATGTAAAAATCAATATCTAAATCATGTTCAGCACCTTCTCCAAAATAATAAAGATGTCTCAACACCGGATCATCTTTTGTCTATTATTAATTATATAAATAAAACTTGAAAATTTGGTGATATTATTATTAAATCACAACCATCTTCTTTAGTTATTATTATCATACCTTAATGTTTCTCACGACAGAAGTCCACATTGTGTATTTTGGAATGGGTTCAACATGGGGAATTGAGAATAATCGTGCTTTTATAAGCTTACTCTTAACAGGTCCATGTGGTTGGAAATCCTTTGAATCAATTAAAAAATATTTAATAGCAATGGAAAAAAAATCTTTCAATTTTTAATTTATATATGTTGAAAATTGTCTAAATTTACTTGAAATTTCAGCATAATTGATCGCTTTCCCATTGAATCATTGACTTTTAATAACTTGGCATGGTCAGAAAATGTTCTTCTTTTTGATGATTTTAATTGTTTCTCAAGAATTTTCTCATTTTCCTCAAGTAACAATTTGATTTTTTGTCTATTAAATTCAATTTGTTCCTTTAAAAGATTATCAAATTAAATAATAAGTTAGATGAAAAAAAACGCGTTTATTAAACTTGATTTATTTATTAATATACTGTTGTTTTTCATCAACCTTGCTCTTAGCTTCTTTGTATTGAAAATGTTTCAATGCTATACTTTCATAATGTTTTGCGAGTTTATCTTTTAGGTCTTGATTATTATTCATTTTTTTAAAATATTTTTACTCGTGAAAATGACAAAAACAAAAAAAAAACAGCGAGACGCGTTTGATAATCACGTACTGTGCCACATACCGAGTTTTTATGATCTACCACAGTCAAACCTCGATAAGTCGAACCACTATAAACTGATTTTCGCTTTATAACGATTCAACCAAAATCATAATTAATAGAATTTAAGATTTGATGTTGATGATATAAACCAATTTTAAAATTCGGCTTATTATTATTATTATTATTATTATTATTATTATTATGATAAAAATCGGGTTACAATTGCCTTAAAAGTAAATATCTACACGAATAGCAATCATAACGCTAATTGTAAACCATCATAAACCGATTTTTGTGATTTCCCAAAAGTTCGGCCTATCGAGGGTTGACTGTACTATTACTATATTTTGACTCGAGAAATTTTGGTAAATCGAAATATTCCGTTTAAGTAGTTAAATTATATATAGTAAAATTATCCAGCTTCAAAACCTTATAACTTTCTTCATTGCAAATAATTCAAAAAAACTTACAATTTTTTCAGATCTAGGATATTGCAAAAATAGAAAGTTTTGGTGAAATAGTCCATATTTAGAAATACGACAACATTTAAAGTTTGGCAACATTTTCGGATGACCTGCACTATATTTTATTTATTATATTCATTTAAAAGCATAGATATCGTTAAAATAAAACATAACATCAATATTGGTAAAATAATCTTGTAAAGATTTTTCCTTTTGATTTTTTCTGTATTGCTGATTTACGTTTTTTGGTATTTCTATTAGGGTTTTTATTATTTTAATGCATGCGCTATTTCGTCCTTTGCTTTATTAATTCCATTTACATATCATGTTGCTGTATATATAGAGATACGGCTGATGGTACACTATGCGATCTTTGGTCAAAAGATTGACAACATAATGGAGAAGGTGCACTAGATTGAACGATAATGGTTGCGCTTCGAGAAATCCCTACGACCACGCTCGCTTTATTTCAACAGAAGGACAACACTGGGTCCGTGCGTGTGTTGAGTTTAGCACTAAAGATGACAAATTCTGTGGTCCATTTAATGAAGATCCCTGTTTCACATACATGGTAGTGAAGACATTTGAAAGTTTATTACTCGAGTTTTAATGGTTTATCCGAATTTCTACGATTATGATTGCCAGTCTTGATTTTTTTATCTCCTTGTCACTTCAATTTTTAATATTCTTACTTATATTTAATTTAATAAAGTCCTGTACCTCCAAGTGTATTTTTCATTCTATTCCACATAATTGTTCCTCGATGCTTTCTTTACTGAACTTTTTATGATTTCTAATTTCTCTGACTGATGAAAGAGAGAGGCTATATAATTGATTGATAAGCCTGTAGATGCGAAATGAAGAAGTTATTAAAAATCGACAGCTTATATGTGCTATTGTGAAACTCGCAACATCCTAGACTAATAGTCAATATTTTTGATTATTATGAAAAATAACATATGGAAAAGGTACTAAACACCAATACATGCAGAATTCAAAACAGCAAACGTATTAATATGTATAAAAGGTACGGAATTAGTACTAGCACTGAAAATCAAATACGGAAATAGAATGTAAACAGTATTATATAATAAAGTAATTATATCATAAATATTGATTGTTATATAAAACTTATATTTTGAATATTTTATGGGAGAAGGAATAAACTGCTTATTATTGCAATTTGATTATAAAAAAGCGTATTACGACCAACGTTCGCGTTACCAACATGATCATAATTTCCACTCGAGATTTCTGTTAAATAAATAGATAAATTTTTTTTGTAGTTAATTATATCCCATTCAGTTTTAATATCTTTTAGAACTTTGAATCAGAATTTGTATTACGGATAGTATTTTTAATATAATTAATTGTATCTTCGATTTCTTTATCAGTGAATTATTACTTGAAATAAAATAAAAGCACATTAAATTATATAGAATCTATTGAAACAATTAATTTTTTCAACAGAATCGTCATTCAATTTTAACCTCCAGATTCAAAGAATTATCATTTCTAGTATCAATTTCATTAATAGAATTCAAGTGTAGTTCGACATGAATTTGATCCTTCGACAATTACATCATGACTCTGTTATTATTAAAATTTACATTATTAGTAATTATAAATTATTAGTATTAGTTTTATTTATAGATTCTCAACAATTTGATTAGATACACTTGATCAATTAAGTTATGAATATACAGTATTTTATTTGTTTGTTAAGCTTTATTGTTAATATGTTTTATTATGTTTGAGAAATATTTTTTTGATTTACTCAAAATATATATATATATATATTATTAGCAGAAAATTCGAATTGTTGAGAGACTTTGTTTTTAATTAATAAATTTATTAACTATATTTATCAAAATTAGAAGTGGTGACTGATCAATATTAACAAAACGTTTTCAACAGATTTTATTATTTAAACTCAGAGTCAAAATGGAAATAACTTCAAATAATGAATATTCAAATAGAAGAAAAGAAGAAGATGGTGAACGTTCAACTTGTAATAGATACAATACTGATTATACATGGTGCAGATAATGTGGTCCACGACTATTAACTCAAGAATGGACTACAGTCAAAGTTCGTTAAATTCATAATTCCGGCACAGCAAATTTTATCGAATTATTCCATGAGAATATATATTTCTATAAAAGGATAAGATTTTCAGAAAAAAATGAACGAGATACTCATATATGAATTTAAAGAGCGAAATTTCATACATGGTGACATATACAAAAGGTCAGAGATTTATGAATTTATCAAATTATTATCGAGATTTGGTTATTACTATTATCGAATAAAATTTTAATATAAGTGGCACTGGTTCCTGAAAAATTATAATTTAAGGAATTATGAATTTATCGCATATGAATTTAACGAGCTTTGACTATAGTGGTAATGGTGCATTAGATGAAATAATTAAAAGTTCACAACTTAAAACAATATACTATGATAATTGGAGTTATCTTCAATGGTTCCTTACGAAGATTTGAAAGTACTTGAAAAGATAGGCGAAGGCGGATTTGCAACCATATACAAAGCTACTTTGATAAATGGTGATAAATCTGTGGACAAGGAAAATAATAAAATAAATTGTAAAGAGAGAGTTGTCACATTAAAAAATTACATAATTCTCAAATATTTCAGATGAATTTTTAAACGAGGTAAATAAGTTTATTAGTATTTTTTCCAGTTTTTTTATAAATATAATTACTGAAATTAAATATCTATAACTATGTATTTTTAGTTCAAAAATTATGTTAAATTTCATCTATCTCATATAATTCCTAATTCTTATTTTGGATTGACACAAGACCCAATTATAAAAGAATATATTTGTAATCAGATATATATGGAAGACGGAAGTCTTCAAAATTATTTATCAAAAGAATTTAAAAGCTTGAGATAGGATAAAATAGATTTTATTACTTATATTATTGATGGTTTATGGGAAATCCGTAATGAAGAAATCTCCAAATGAAAATAATAGAGTACTGTTATATATAACGCCCGAAGTCATAGAGGTAAACCATACTCGATATATACAGTTTTGGTGTATTGATGTCAGTAATAGTAATATCAACTGACCAACAACCATTCAGCAATTTATTACATGGTACAAGTCTTGCGATAAAGATATGCAAGGGAATAATACCAGATTTCTCAATAACACCCCAAAACTTTATATTCATTTAGCATATAAATGCATGGATGCTGATCCATATAAACATCCCAATGCCAGTGAAATTAGAAAAAAAAATCTTGATTTTTGGTATGCATCATTAAGGGATGAGCAATGATGATAAATCCCAAGAGTAAATTAATGAGATGAAGTCAATGAAGAAAATATTTGATTTATCAACAATTACAGCAACTTTACATCGTGATGCAGATTATTAAAATCAACAGATCTCCTCAACCTGTAAATTCCAATAAAGTTACAATTATTAATAATAACAATAACGGTGATTATTAACATATTGGTTTATTATACATATTAATTATTGAAATTAATGCATAATTCTAGATTCTCAACAATTCGATTTAGATGCATTTGATCAATTTGCCCAATTAAAATTACATGTTTGATATTGTAATTGGTTTTATTTTATTTGCCTAACACAGTTTTACATACATTATCAGCAGTAAATGTAATTGAAAATTTTTAAAACATTTAAATCGCCAATTATTGTATTAGAGAGAGATAAGGTTTGAAAAAAAACGTACTTTTAAAAATCCGGATTTCCCCTTAACCTCTGGAAAAAGAAAGATTGCCAAATATTTTTCCCTTTTTTTTAGAATATTCCACCTGCATGCATGCCAATTGATGAATGAGAAAGATGATCGACATATGCGAAGGAAAATTGTCACAAAAATAACCAATCGGGCACCTTTGCATGAAAATTGTTGTTTCTACACTTTTGTCATAACTTTTTTTGTTGTGCGTGCATATAGGAAAAAGTCAAGTATTATCGGTATATGGTTTTTTTCTTTGATTTTATTGAAAATTTTTTTTTAGTGTTTCCGCAGCAAGTTCATTCATTCATAGACGGATTGTTGTATATTATGTATCTTAAAATAAAATTACAGACCAATTTTTCAGATAATGTCGTCATTTCAATTTTTTTGTTAAAGAACAACAACCAAGATCATAAGTTGCATTTTTAAAATAAAAACATGTATTTGCCCAATTTCAAAAAAGACTGCTAAATAAATTGAAATTAAAAATATATAGTAATGAGGAACAAGATGATGCATCTCTGGGATGATAGCAAATGGACCAGGTGAGTAATTATCTAGTTTTAATGTAACAGTGACTTTCTTTCTAGAATATCTGGTTCATGAGGAATTTCCACGCGAAAATCCTCACAAAAATGTAAGACTGACCTTATCTAAAGCACAAAAAATCATCAAGGCTTTAATGCTGATAATACTTCTTTAAACGTCGATGCAAATAATGATGATTCTTGGACGAAACAATTCATCAAAAAATAAATTATGATATTTTTGATAATGATTTTAACTCAGTTTACATTCACTATTTGACAAAATGCAAGTTCATCAAGTTCTAATTCTCTATATTTTCTTTATTACACAAATTCCATGGAAAAAATTATTGCATTATTTCGTTGTTTGGCGCAGCAATAGAATTATATCACAAGCTCACCAAAAAACAATCATGCCACGCTTCAAATAATTCACATTGGTTAAATAATAGTGGTTAAATTCAAGTTAAACATAGCTGTTTGTCACTTTTTGACCTGTTATAGTTTATTAACGTGATATTCATCTTATAATCAATAAAATAATATCATGGAATGTAAATTAATTCCTCTCTGCTATTGTATGTAACAGTTACTTATTTCATAACTATTATTATCAAGTTTTTTCTGGATATAAATAAATATGGTAAAAACAATAAAAGTTGGTGGCCACAATTGTGGTTCTTAAAGAGAATGAATATGGATGATAAAATGGGATTTATTTGTTCCTTACATTTAATAATATTATAAATTTTTTCTAAAAGTGATTCTTTGCATATTTAAATGTATGATTTTTATGCCTATAATTCATTAAGTAAGCAAAAAACTGGCGGTTCAATCATGTCTTCGTAAGCTAATATAAATCGGTTTGCAAAGTTGATATAAAAAATTTTTTTTAAATTAAATGACGGATCACGAATCAAGTTTTTATCTAGTTATTCTTAATAATCAATCTAAAATGGACCTTTTGATGAAAATTTTTTCTTGAACGAGTTTTTTCTGTTCTTAATATCCATTCCATTTCACCTTATCATTATGCAGTTCTATGCATCCTGAAAATAATACTTTGCGAATCGCTACATTTTAAAAAAGCACTCGTGATTTTAATAAGCTGCATAGGTGGTTACGAAGAGATGAAAATAAAAGATGCGTGAAAGAAGTGTTATACCCATTTTGTGTTAATATTGCAGTGATCCGCGAGCTGATGACGATGGGCGAAACTATTTTTAAGATCTATAGTGGTTTCTCCCCCCACAATTGGTGAAGAAATTCCAAAACTGGAATTCCAATACGACTAATTATATGTTCTATTAACGATATTTATTCATAATGATTGTCTACGAAAATATAAAAGGTTTAAATCTTGTATAATCAAATCAAGGTTCATACAAAAAGAAGCAAAGAAAGAATTGGAACCAGAATTCCATCAAAGTTAGATTAGAAACTGATAACTTTTAATGAATTACAAAGAAAATCATGTAGCTGGTTGATATAAAAACAAAATAATTAAATCCAATTATATTATTATCATTTGACACCATATACCGGATCTTGTGAAAGAATATGGATTATTTACTAAAAAAAAGAGATGTTTTAATTGCTAGACGCGTCGAAAATACATGTAGTAATAGCATCATTTTTTTAGATGCTTTAGAATCATGAAATTCCGCATGTGTAATATCCAAAACCATAGCCTTCATTTGACATGATTTAACAAATTTTATTGAATTCATTAAGTTTCATATGCACAACTAAACTATAAAATGACATTTTTTATTTATGTAGATACTTTCTTTCAGATACTGTAATTATCACGTTTCAAACTGTATGATGAAAAATAATATGAAATAGGAGAAGAAGATGACGATGATATAAAAGTGACGGAAGAAAAATAACAATGATATCAATAGTAACTAGGCGTATTTAGAACCAACCATATGTTTCTAATCATTGAAAAAACAACAATAGACTTGTATCATCTAAATGACGTTTATCTGACGAGAAGATATACTTCTTGATAGCTGTGATGGGAAGATTATCTATTACAAATTTGTTTTATTATTTTTCATATATATTATTTTCTAATTTAGTCCACTTACATAATAAAAATTACTTTTATGACCAGTATTAATAATTTTAATATTTCATAGTGTATAATAATAAAATTTGATCACGCCACATATACTTACGATTTGAAATTTTATTAATAAAATCAGCTATATAACCCTCTTGTGTTCATCAAAAATTAAGGTTATTAATAAAGATCTTGGGGTCAAGTTTATCTACCAAACTACCATATTTGGAAATTAATTATCTCTTTTTTGGTCATTCATTACGCCTGAAGATTTCCTGTCCACACCTTTTCCTTTTTGTGCAAAATTTAATGTTTTTTTGGGTTTTTTCCCGCTAAACAACATCCACATAAATGGAAGCTTACAATAGTCAAACATTCATCAAGTTTGTAAAGGTGTAATAATATATGTTGGATAAAAATTTTAATTTTGAAGTAAAAAGTAATAATGTTTTGAATAACTACAACTTTATATGGAAAACCTCTCTATCAATATGAGAGAACTATAATGTCACCGTTTATTTTGGATTAATAATTGTTAAATGATGTTAAAATCCGCAGATAATTCCATATTTGGATAAGATACGATCGTAATAGTTGAATTTGGGACCATTATTGTAACCGGAAATTTGTTTTCATGTGAAAAATTAGCCAATTTAAAGGAATTTCAAATAGTCCATAGATTTCAATATTTACCAAAAATTTTTATTGATAACTGAAATAACGGCTAACTGCCGTGCGAGCATCATTTTCCACATTTAATTATAGATTTAAAAACATGTAATTTCTTATTGATACCAATTTTGGGAATAACGGCCAACTGCCGTGCGAGCACCACCTTCCATATTTAATTATAGATTTTAAAAACATAATTTTTATTGATATCCAATTTTGGAATAACGACCTTCCATATTTAAGCAGTAAATTTAAAAAAAATCATAATTTATTAATATCAATTTTGGAATTTTGAAATGACGGCCAACTGCCGTGCGAGTACTACATACAAATAATAAATTTCCCAATGTTTTACGAACAATAATCATTATAAATCAATAATAGTAAATTATTAATAAAAAAATTGTAAACATACATATTTGAAAAAGTAAACGATCTCAAAAATTGTTCTAATCAATTAATCGTTTATTTTGCAAAGTTTAATCACATAAAAGTGATTTATATATTTTAAAAATTTTTGCAAGCTAAAAATTTATCAACAATCAATTCAATTGTCCGTGTTTTGATTTTTGTTGAAGGCTACGTTTGATGTAACTATCACTGGTTAATATTGTTGCCTTTTTGTCTTATTCTGTGCGTAATTTTATTTTATAATAATGAATTTTTTTGTAAAAGTAAAATCAGGTTTTCTATCGAATTGGCATCATTCATTTAATGATTCTTAATTAGTATTTATTATCACATACATCTAATTTGTTAATCTAGTTTAATCTAATTAATCTAGTTAAACTGATAAAAGCTTTTTTCCTTATTGTAAAGATATCTAGAACATCTTCAAAGTTTTAGATCCATCTTCATCTTACAATTTCGTGAAACTTCATCATGTATTTAAACTCCTCGAATCTCTTTGGAGTTGAGAGTAATTGTTGATTTTCAATGTCTTAATAATCAAACAATTAACATAACGATGAATTTTATATCACCTGTACACGAATAATTCGTGTCACTTTATTATACCATAATCGGTGTGAATGGAAGGACTATATCTATACGTCTGTCGTACGACAGATTAGTTAGAGTCATCCATTTTTATTTCTTATTATAAAAATAAATGTCTGAGACAAACAATTTTGTTTTAACTGTTCGATCTGGAGGCCAAACAGGCGCTGATAGAGCAGCTTTAGATGCTGCTCTACATTACAATTCCACTAAAAACTTATCTAACGGCGAGAAAAAATATCTCATCGTTAATGTTACTGGTTGGTGTCCGAAAGGAAGATTAGCAGAGGATGGTACCATCTCACCGCGATACCCGCTAAATGAAACACCTAGTTCATCGTATGCTGAACGAACAGAATGGAACATTCGTGATGGAGACGCTACATTGGTTCTATTATTATCTGCCACTACACCGCCTGATTTTGGAACGGGTTTTACTATTGAGAAAGCGAATGAATTTAAAAAGCCTTCAAGAATCATTTTTCTTGATGACGATATCATGCATAACGCTCGTCAGGTTATTAATTGGATGAATGTCAACCAAGTCAATGCGCTGAATGTAGCAGGTCCTAGAGAAAGTAATTGTCCTGGAATTTACAACAAAGCATATAAATTTATGATTGCCTTGTTAGATGAAATAAATAAGAGCGGCAAGGTAAGCAAGGTAGGAGGCGAACCACCTTTAATAGACTAAGAGTGAAATAGAATATTCATTATGTGTTTTATTTCTTATTTTTTGTAAGTTTTTATCTTTGAAAAGATGTATGTTTAAATACTTTATTTAAATACTTATTTATTTATTTAAGTTTAAGTTTAAAATAATTTAATAATTAGTTAATTAGTTAAGTTTAAAATAGATATAAATAAAGACAGATGTTTTAATTTATTGAGTTGATTTTATAGTTTAACTTAAATAAATAAAATTTTTTATCAATGAATAACTAAATTAGTTATCTTCATCTTCGACTAAATATAATTAATTAATTTAATAAATTCAATGAATTACATTTTTATGTTTAACGAATATAATAAATTTTAACACTTACATGTGTAATCATTAGAGTCCGGAATCACGAGTTCAAGTTGTTTAGATTCTGGTTAATAATTAAAACCAAAATTTTTATAAAACTTTTTTATTTTCATGTTCAGAAAAAAACAATGTAATTACCTTCGGGGGTATAATTAACAGGGTTAGGAAGATTTCCATAATCCAAAAGTCTACTTGTATAAATAGCTTGGGTATGCGTGGCATAACTTAGTCTGGTAGATTTGTTTGGTTTGTAACCCGAAGACTCAGTAGATTTTTCAATTGCTTCGATTTGTTGATAAATTTTTGCCTCCTTATTTTTAACGTGCACATCTTTATAATATTGAGTCAAAATATCAGTCAATTCTTTAGCGGATACCCGATTGTTAGGTTCTGCATCTAAGCAACTATTCACCAAATCCAAGAGCAGCTGAGGAACTCGATTTTTGATTTTAGGACGAAGGCCCTGACAAATGAGTATTGCGAGATGTTCATTATGTGGAATATCATGATAGGGCGGATAGCCTGTAAATACCTCCACCATGATAATTCCAAATGAATACACATCAGATGCACTGACATATTCACCCCCTCTCAAAACCTCTGGTGCAACATATGGAAGGACACCATAAACTTTTTTTGATTCGTTGCTTTGAGAAACTGGTTTGCACAAACCGAAATCTGTAATAAATGAAGAAAATCTATCACCCATGACTATATTACCAACATGAAAATCTTTGTGTAACAATCCTTCTTTGTGAATATCAGCAAGGCCTTTGGCTATAAATAATAAGCTATTTAACTTGTTGTCCCAACTTAATTCATCGTAGTTTTTGTCTAGATTTTGTCTAAGGCTTCCTTTCACTGCATATTTCAAGATAATCATATAATCTTCTTTACTTGGATCTTTGGTAATGCCATAGACCGGAATTGCGTTCCCATTTTTTCTGAATTTAAGTTGGTTTCTTATCTGAAAAAAAAAGCAAGTAGTATATATAAAACCCGAAAAATATATATAAATTATGCATTTGAGTCATTGTCGTTACCTCTTCAAAAAATTCGCTCGTCATATTCGCGGAATCGTTGAATCTTTTTAAACAAACAAATCCATTGCCTTTCCATGAATCTACACCACTTCTTCTCCATTCTTGGTCTGTACTGGACCACCACTTGATATATCCATCAGCCCAAGTAGCCTTGAATACTGTGCTAAAACCCCCTTTGGCAATATACTCTATCTTTTCAAATTTGTCATAATCAACCCATTCAATAAGTTCATACATGTCATTTGCTTTAAGTTGCATTTCCTGGATAAATTTGTCAATTTCTTTATTACCACTTGTCCAGCTGCCAAATTTACTTTTAAATCTTTCGGCATTACAAGATTTGCACCACTTAATTCCTGTATTTGGTTGTTGGCAATCTTCACATCTTCCATACTCTTCGAGACAATGCTCCAATTCTTCAAAAGATCTTACCTCATTGGGATTACTATTTAATTGAACATCTTTAGTAGAGCTTGATGAACCTTTTTGTTTGTCACTCATTTTTCAATCTATACAAAAAAAAATAACATTTTCATCAAGAAAGTTTTAGCCTATAAAATTTAATGATAAACTCCTTATCTTAAATTATATAACGACAATGGCTACCAAAAGGCATTAATGATTAGATACTTTACCAATAAAATTGCACAAGTTATGAAATGCGCAAGTAATTTAGGTCGATAATTTTATATTGATGAATCACTATATGATGCTTACGTCAATCTCTTATACAATAGCAATTTACGTGTAGTCATACGAGTGATCCTTGAGTCTCCGGATTATATGTACAATGGCTAATAATAAATATTCAAAAACGTTATCCAATTCAAAAATTTGCTATATCCGCGTGTTTCAAAATAACATTAAAAAAAAGCAAAACTTCTTTACCTTTTTCTGGAAAACGTCTTTCAATACAGATATTTATGCAAAAATTATTAAAAATGAACTTTTTTATTATATTTTTTAAATATCAGGAAATTTAACCTTCATCCAACCAAAGAAAAAGTGGTTAGGAAATTTTTATTTTGTTTTTGTGTAAATTTTTTGATCTGTACATTTGGAAATTTGTCCCCAAAATTACTAAATTACTTCTAATTTCAAATTAATGACACACTGAACTCGTTACACGAACTTATAAACAAAGAAATTACATGGTTCATGTTTTGGTTGTAATGAGTGATCTAACTTCATAGGAAGGTAGAAGGCTAAAGTATGTCATCGTGCAAAAATAATTGATGGTTATATATGAAGCTTGCAACCCTCGACATATATTTACTTGATTGATGATGTTTTTCACCCATGACAATTTTGGTCTTCTGAAATTTGACAAGATATAAACCTAAGGTATATTCTGATGTAAAAATATATAAATATGATGATTTAGTAATTACATTACGTATATTAAAATAATTTCAACAAAATTGTTTCTATTAGAAGTCTGTTATATATTGTAACCATTTAAAGCCCAATAATAAAGAGTTACAGATCATGTTGATTTGGTATTGTATGTATACATGTATGTATACATGTATGTATATATGTATGTCATATTATAAATGTGACACATATAATACTGACTGTTAGTTAAATCCTTGATGGTATAATACCTATTTATTCTTTATTATTATGTTTTTGAGTCTCCGTAAACCATTAATATTTTTATACTCATAAAATACACTAATAAAAAATAAATAGTGTTAAATTAAAAACTAAAAAATATTAAACAGTTGTCATGTATATTTAATATAATTCTTACTTGGACTTGGGATTTTGTATTTACATCGCGTGCTGCGCTGCTGACAGAAATTTTTTTATTGTGACTGGAGGTTGGAACCGGTTTTTAAGAACTAGTTTTAGCCATTTTTTCAAAATTAGAACAGGTTTAAGCCGTATTTAGACAAAACCGGTTTTAACCGGATACCCGGTTATGATATTACATTCATTCATATTCATTAAAGTTTAATTTCGTGGATGATCAGACGAAATAGGTTTTATACTAGCAAATAGTTGGGGGTTATTTGTTAATGGTAACAGTAATAGGATTGTTTTCCAAAGCCGAAACTTGTTATTATTTTCTTTATTCAAGAAAAAAGTTATTTTACAACTATAGGAATTCGAGTTGCTTATATACATGTCCATTATTTATAGCATAATAATTACATGCAAACATTTATACTCGAACGCAATGTTATTACACTTGTACTACTTACCTGCGCTGTTCTCATGACGCTATTGTTACTTATTATGGGAAACCTATCAAAGTGGACATCATGTCACAAGGAGATTTCAGGGATCAAAATTGGTGATAACTTAGAATCATGATAATTTACATATATAGTAAAAATCATGTTTTTTAAAAATGGACCAGGAAGGAAATTCATTCGCCTTTTAAGGTAAGATCTTTGGGTAATTTTGCTAATTGAGCGGGAAATGGTTTATTTATAATTAACCAATGTCTTGTTTCTACACTGTAAATAATCCTTGTTTATTGTTGTTAGTAAACACGTATAAACATTATCATCTTTTAAAAAAGGATTAACTTTCAATTTCTTTAATAATACTAGAGGACAACGATATTAATGAGGTGTGTAATAACTTCAAAAAATCATTCATTCATTAACAACAAAATATTATTATCAACCCTGGCTAAATAAATAACTTCATTTCCTGCATCTTTATCATTATTAGAAATTCATTAACAAATTGCTGTCGTTATTTCAATGAACTTTTAAAGCATGTTTTTTAAATAAGAATAAGAATTGATTTAAAAGGTTAAACTTATCAATGATCAATAGTTTTGGCTTAGTTTTCTTGTAGAGACATTTTTTTATCCAAACACTTATTTATCTCTAAAATAATTTATTATGGCAGATGGTTCTTTAAAAGATTTAGAAAAAAGAAAATGATTAATATTAACGAGAAATGAATGAGTTTTAATATCAGAATTCCAAACCACGGAGATAAAATGTTGAAAGAAACAATGAAAATTACAAAGATAATAGTTAATGAATTGCATGAAATGGATAAAACATTTTCTTATTTAATGAGGATGAAAAAAAAAAGTTGGTGATTATCAAATAAGACAACAATTTATCGCCAAAGTAAATTACCAGTAGGAATTAATCCATTGATTGAATATTTTGTTAGACAATATTTATGAAGCAATACTATCATAATTTTAAAAAGATGTTTGTTTTGACAGTCTTTAGCAATTATTTAAACCTTAGAGATGCTAGAGGTTGTGGCCATGTGGAAGAAGGCTATGTTACTAGTTATTTAGTTAACAAAAGAGTAATGAATGACTTCATCAGTAAAAAGACAAGGCTTTGGTTCAAAAAAGTGGAACTTAATTTACACAAACAACACAATTTAAATCAAGAAATCGAGAGAACTAAAAGAAAAATTTCAACCAATAAGCCTTTACTCAAGGAAGAAAATAAATTAAAGCAAGTCAGCAAAAAAAATCTTCATATTAAAAAAATCATCTTTAAGCCAAATAATCGAGTTGAAAGATAAGTTCCAACGTTAAAAAAGGTGAGATTCTGTCACGACTAATCGTAGTTGTAACTCAATTTCTAAACATTTTGGGAGTAGAAAAGTTTGGTGATGAATATGCCTGAAAAGGAAGCATTATTATTCGCTAATGAGGAACAAAATATAAAGGTAGCAAGGGTATTTTTTTTTAAATAAAGATCACACAGTTCATTCTGAACATAAAAGGAAGAGATAATAGAACATTTGTAGAGGTTTTACATCTTTTCTAAGCAAAAGGTTTTTATAAATAATTATGTCAAAATCACAAGAATTGAAAAACAAAATATTAAGCGATTAATCTAGTTGGGTGATAGGTATTAGTGGAAGGAGAACTTTATAAGAATTAAGATAGTGAGTGACACTAACCTTGAAAATAAGGTGACTTTCCCTAATCTGAATTTATTCTAGCATTTATGAATGAAATTAAGCAAATTCTCCAAAACTGAAAAATTAAGGAGTATAACAAATCGGGAGGAAGCATATTGGATTAAGTGTCGGATTAGCTGATGTAAGTTTAGATAACTTTTAGATTGTCAAAAAAAAACAAACCTTTCCCCAAAAGACAAAAGTATCTCGAAAATACTTTCAATGACAAACTTTAATTAAATTAAAGTTTAAAAACAAGGATTAGTACATGTTTAACAGGAAATTTTTTGTAAAGGTTTTATTCGAACGAAAGTATACTTTTCACCTGAAAACAAATTTCAAATGAAAGAAGTTATTTTCTATAAAGTTGGCATTGATATATAAGTATTTACACTAACATATTTTAATATATAAACGAAAGTTTTTATTCTTTCTTTTTTATTCTTTTTTTTTTTTTTACAATAACTTTTTAAAAAAAAAATATTTGATGAATATTGCTTACTTTAACACTTACGAACAATAATACTAATAAAAAAGTGAGTTTATGAAAAATTAGTCATGTTTTTCAAACTCTTTATAATAATTGCTAAAATAAGTTTTTTCTTTACTAATTTAGGGTTTAACAGCATCTTCACCTAACTTCTATTCTCTAACAAATAACAATTAAAAAATGTGTAATATTTATACTTTTAAAAAATGACAACAATTGAAGATGTTAAACAAGAATTAAACGAGTATCAAGAGGCGAAGAAGAAGTTGGAAAAGTTGGGGGGAGGAGAGTGAAGAGAAAAAAATATTGAAGAAAAGAAGAGATTGGAGTTGGAGAAGGTTTTTGGAGAGAAGTAAAGAAGTGAGGAGATGTGTTGCTGAATTTAATAAAGATGAGGTGATGAACAAATTGCATAAAAAAATATACAAAAATTTTTTTTCACTCATTCCATTTCGTTTATTTATTTATCAATTTGAGTGAACATTTGATATACTGCTTACAACTTAAACTCTCTTTCCCTGGTCATTTACTAATTCATTTTTTAATTAAATATACAACCTTGTTTCATATCTTTATATTTATATATTCATATCATTACAACCACCGGCCATAACGGGAAGTGTCTATCAACGTTTTAGCTCTCAAAAAAAGAAATTTGCAGTAATCTTATTCTTTTATTCGATCAAGACAAAGAAAACTGGAAGGTTCAGACAAGGAAAGCAGAGGCTTAAAGAGAAGGCAACAAACATTTGTGTAATATATACTGCTTGTAATCTTGATTTGTTTTTTAAAATTCACTTTTTATTTTATGTATTTTATATTTTTTTGATATTTAAGATCCCTGAAGAATTAGAAGAAGGTCGTGATGGCCTTACAGTTATAACACCTAAAAGGTTGAAGCGGATCACTGAGTTTATGGAAGATAGCAAGATTACCCTTTTGCGCAGTCCTCCATCATCAGGAAAAAGTACTCTCGAAAGTTTTGATCTGCATTAGTCTTGCTGGATCAGAAATATACGATAACCTCTTTGACAATTTCTGGAACAACAAGTGTGTTTTTACCTGGACAGAAATCAGTAAATATAAAAAGATTATATATGTGTTCATCAATGAGATACAGATTATCTATAGCAATGCGCTCCATTCTTTTGGTAATTTGAAGGAACTTCCATCAAGTGAATCAAATATTCATATAGTTTTGCTCAGTACATACCATTCCCAAATGTCACCTGTGGAAATTTGTCGCACGCTTGGTTGAATGTCCTACTTTTAACATGGAAAAATGTTGTGTCCCAGCAAGATGATGTGATATGTTCTCATCCAGCATATTGTGAGATAGTAAATTGTGGACCGACCAAGGGTCCGAGACCAAAATTGACCAGCATCATGGAAAATGCTGGTAACACTTCCGTATAATGCTGGTTCAATTCCTGATAGAATAATTAATACAATGTATAAAAAACATGAATGAAATAAAAAAAATATATATAAATTATAAAATCACGTGACGATGATTCTCATATGACTTCAATATGGAACTCCCGTTATAATGATATTTTTGGAGTGTCGTTATAACGGGTGTGACTTGTATTATTATTATGATATTTCCAATAAATAATTCGTTGTCCGTAATTAATTTCGTAATTACGTTTTTAAAGAGGGAAAGTGGTAATTAATTACAATAATTACACATTACATATTTACGGTAATTAAGCAATTACCATCCCATGTATACTTATGAATGTAAAAAAAAAATCATTTAAAAAATGATAGATTTTGGAGGGAGTAAAAAATCAAAATGCTACTATATGTAGTATACAACTATGGTAATGTTTAATATAATATATGAATATAATATTAATAAAACTATAATAGAAATGTTCTTGCCTTTATAGCTGAACAAATTTGGAATGCCAAATTTTTCCGGTGTTGGAAATTTATAAAATCATTTAATGTTTTAATATAGTCCTCAAGACTCCTTCTGCAAAGATAAGATAGAATGATTATTATATTCTCCTCGTCAAAATAACCATCAACTACCTTTATAATATTCTCATGGTCCAATCAATATTTTTCAAAACATCAATTTTCATTTCTATATTTAATTATTCTTTTTTTGTCAAATTTTCTATCGTTGACATTGATAATTTTAGCAGCATAAATGTTATCATCATAATTATTTTTTTGACTATCATATTCATTATTTATAGCATGATATCTTTTCCTGATTGAGCAGGTAAACGATCCTTTACTTTTCTAAATTGATTTTCAAAATTAGTTTTGATATCCTCAAAAAACTGCACTTCTACACTCCCCACCATAAATATCCGAACCACCTGAGTTGTGTAACGTCAAATGAAAATAGTCCTCACTAAAAAAGCAACGTTATCTTAAATAAAACCTTTCTTATTTTACTAAGTAGATTTGTACTTGATATCAAAATCTCCAAATTACAAAAGCTTCGAAAAGTTTGGTGTGTTATTAATGGAAGCATTTAACAAATAGTCCAAAAGCAAATTTTCAATCGGAATCTTTACATGTAATAAAAGGTCAAATTTCTTTGTTGTAATGTATATTATTTCATTAATAAAACGTGCTCAACGTAATGGATTACATATATCTACAATAGAGTGTCAGCATAAATTAGTTCGTGAAAGGGGTCTAAAAAAGTACCCATCCACCCCGTAATTATAAAACACTTTATTAATAAAGTTGACAAAATGAAAATTTTAAGGTTTTACATTTTGTTGTCAATATTTTATCAATTTTTCTCAAATTTTAATCATATATAATTCAAAGTATTTTAAGTGAACTTAATGACGTAATCCATGATTCAACGGAGTTTTGAAGGTTTTTACTAAGCTCAAAATTTTCATAAAAATCACGGGATTTTTTGTCTAATTTAAAATTTTCATCCTAAATTCATTAATAATGCAAACTCGACGAGACTTTAAGTTTATATGCAAATTAACTTTTAAAAACATGTTTACTTAATGCACCAGTTCCGGTTTGGTTAATAAAGTTTTGAACTGCGTGAGGTATAAGTTTCCCAATTATTAAAATGATCATCAGGTGGTCGGACATTTATGTATTAGTATATAAATATAATAAATAAAATATTAACCATTGTCATTATTATATATTGCTAAAATGAGGCCTTGAAACCACGTTTATTTATCTAAAATTCAATACATCATTAAATATTTACAAATTTTTACATGTAATCCTATCCTAATTAACCTATTATTAGACATATTATTGTCACCATTATTATTATTATAATTATTATTATCATCATCACTACCAGCATTATTGTCATTATTATTATTATTGCTGTTATCATCATTATTGCCATTATCACCATTATCATTATCACTTATTATTATCGTCATCACTATCATCTTCATTATCATCACCACCAACATTAATATTAATATAAAGTTGTTGCTGTTGTTCTTGAAGTAGTTTTGACATTGTGGTAGCTGTGGTGGTTGTGTTAGTCAGGGTCTTCTTGTTAGGTTTCTTTCACTTTTAATTTTCATTTTATTATTATTATATATTAAAACTAGAATGACGATAAACGTCGTCGTTGCTGTTGTGGTCATCATCATTATCATCAAATATCATCAATCAGACTACCACTACCAAAGTAGTTGTTGATAAATACATTATTGTTTATGTGATTATGGAAGTTATACGTCGCAATAACCACCATTCTTTAATAAACACTTGAATGAAACTTTAACACCACATTATTGTTTGCTTTTGCTTTGGTTTCGTTGAGACATTGTTTTTTATTTAGAAATTAGAGTGAATACAAGCGGCAATAATCATCACCATTCTTATGATCTTCACTTCCACCGCATTGTCTTTTTTTCTTGGCATTTTGAAAAAGAAAAGACGTTTGGTTGATGCGCGTTAAAAAAAAAAGATCAACAATTATTATTGGCACTTGATGTTGTACAAAGATTTTTTTTTACGCGATTGATTATTTTTTTCGAGAAAGGTGACAAGGCGTGAGTGTTGTTGTTGTTTGGTATGGTTTGGCTCTGAAGATGTATTTATAACTAGTCATAGATACTATTTTTTTATTTGTATTTGATATAATTTATTTTATTTTATAAATATTTTAATTGGAATCAAAACGAGGAGCAGATCTTGTTGGATAATTATAAGATTCTTATCAATAGCAAATAATTGGTATTTCGTTTTTGCTTTCCGTAATCATTATTAATATTAATATTATTATAATTAATTACAAGATGTCAAGTTGAAAAGGAAACATTTCGATATATGATGTTTGATTATTGGAAAATTACAAGCGTTGAAGCACACGTGCCACCTTGAATACATTACATTCATTCACACGTTTCTCATGTATACAAGGCTAATCTGACCACAGTACCCCTGATGATACAATGATCCAGGGAGGGTGGAGTTTACCAAGACTGCACGGAAAATTAATAAATAGGAAATGATTTAGGAAAGTTGCACGAAAAGAAAATCGGAAAAAACAACGAAGTAAATATTCTAACATTCTAAAATGCAACTAACCTTTAATTCTCAGGTTAAATTTAAACGAAGGAATTTAAATGGTTGGATCACTTTAGGAATAACTTGAAAATAATCCTACAGAGAACTATATGATAGAACCTTTAACATATACAAACAACGCCGCAATTTTCCCAATTCCATGTACCATCACCACTACCATTACTCCTATCGATCATCATCAACATTAACATCATAATAATAATTTAATAAATAACACTGTCTTTGACCTTGTTCTTGTTGTTGCCATCGAATTTTTATATTTTCGTAATTATATTAAATCTATCTCTAACAATGAATTCATACTGATCCCGTGCATAATTATTTTATATTTGTCTCTTATTTTTATTATTTTTTATTTCTTTTCTTTTCTTTTTAGTGAGGTAATATTTAATGAATTTTATTTAGTAGTTTTTTAGATACGTACCTGACTTGGTAGTAAAGAGGAAAAGGCAACCATTACTGGAAACTTACCTGGAGGAAGTAAAAAAAATAAGGCAGAAGTGAAATATTGAGGAACCAAGGCAGCAACAGCTAGAGGGCACCCGCCAAGAAACATGATCAGGATATATATTGTAAATCTAAAGAAGATATTGTTTAATATTTCCTATTACAAGGAATTGTTTAATGATAGTGAAAGATAGTTTTGAGAGTAAAGCATAAATATACATTTGCGGAAATTGTTATATAAATAAATTGGAAGAAAGTTTATTAATATTGTTGGCATTTAAATAAATAAAATATTGAGATTTACTGTGAGACGCGGATTTTGATCTCACACTATAAAGCTCCTTTTATTCACTTGTGACTAATTTGTTTTATTATAAATAAGTTCGCCTCGGAAAGACAACTAGTTGAACTAACTAATTAAAATCAAAACCAGCCTAAGCAAAGAATATCCTAAAGTAAATCCCGAATTTCACAGGAATGAATTGATTTCTTGAGCGATTTTTTTTCCTTTTTATAGCCTCAAATGTAAAAAAAAAAAAAAGAAAGAATATAAGGCAAAAGAATTGGATTCAATGTTTTTGTTAATTACGCAAAAACATACATAACATCATCAACCAATAAATTTATGTATTATATTATTATATTCATGCAAAACTTCATATTTCAAATTTTTTTAAGCGAAGATAATTTTTATCAATATGATAATTGCAAATTTTAATCACTCGAGAAGAAAGATTAAGGCTATGCAAATAGTCTTAGTACTGTTGTATCCAATTCCGTCCGCCTTTGTAGGCAAAGTATATTGACTAAACCATTTTAATAATTCTAAAGTTTATATTAAATTTCTAAAAAAATCGTTTAAACAATAAAAATAAATATATTGCTAAAAAGTAAAATATAGGATTTTTAATCTATTAGAACTAAACAGTGTTATTATTATGTTAGTTTTCGAACAATTAATAAAAGCTTAAGCAAGAAACTTTGTGATAAAAAAA